GGCACGTGAGCACCCTCCCACCTGGGCCTGGCCCACAGCAGCAGGAAGGACGTGCTTGCTGACTGGTCCTGCGGCCACCTTCTGTGCTGGCTGCTTCTCCTGCCTGCCAGACACGGGTGGGCACTCTTTGGGGACTGCACTGAGAATCTGCAGACAGAATCTCCATCTGAGGGGTCTTCACGATGTGGCCTCCGCAGTGCCCATCCCTGGGTCGCCCTGAATTCCACAGAGTTAGCCAGATGCTGCAGACAGTACTGAAGCATGGACGACGGCAGGCCAGGTCAGCCGCAACAGGGGACGACAGGGCTGCAGTCCTGTGTGAGGACAGCCATGCAAAGCCTCATCTCCCGGTGTTTCCACACCCTTCTTGGTAAGTGCCGAGTCGAGACTGGGGAGTCCTGTTCTATTTGCTGTTACCACCAAGGTGAGGTCTCCCATAGACCACATTCCCCTGGGACTGTGTGTGTGTGTGTATGTGTGTGTGCACAGGTGTACGTGGTGTTAAGAGGGAATGAGAAAGCAGAAGGCACAACTCTTGCCCTGCCCTGCAGCCTCACCACCTGAGCCCTGGCTGGCACATGCCGGGTAAGGGGCCCCACACTGGATGCCAGAGGCCCTGCTGGACGTTTCAGATGTTCAATTATTTCAGAAACTTTCAGGTACTAGTCATGGGGCAGCTGGGAAAAGACACCATGTGTTAGAAGCACTGGCTTCAGCCCATAGCTCTGGGGGGATGACTCAACATGAAAGTCTTGTGGCCTGCAGCTGTGTGATTGTCCCAGGGCCCAATCTACCCCAGCCATCCGGTTGGCCCTCAGGGGACCTGGGGGAGGGGTCAGGGATGGGAGTGGAGCTTAGGGAGAAGAGCGGAGCTTTCAAGGAAGGTAAGACGCTAGTCTTCTTCCACTGCAGCTTTCTGCAGCTCCAGGGATCGTTTAAATGTACAAAATGAACCCATGAGAAACTCAGAGACCAGGGCCAGCAGGTGGTGTGGTGGTTAAGGTGCTGGACTCCCACATGGCCAACTGTGGTTCAAGTCCTGGACCTGGTGGTTTCCTTTCTCACTTTCCCTCTCTCTCTCTGGTCAAATTGGAAAATAACAACAATAAAGTTAAAATAATTTTAAAAACAAACAAAAATAAACTCAGAGACCAGAAATAGGGAAGTCACTCAATATAAAAATGGCCCGAGAACTTGTTTGGAAAGGAAGTAGCAGTTTCTCTTCATAGTCATTGTTCTACAGCTACTTCTGCCTCTAAACTATGACTTGTCATTACTTTCCACTGATTTCACAGAAAGTTGGTGTCGATTTCTAATGATCTGCA